GGGTTTCAGGGTTCAGGGTTTGGGCTTTATATTATAGCGTTGGGGTTTATAGAGGGTTTAGGGTTTCAGAGTCGAGGGCATAGCGGCTTAGTTTAGGCATGTGTTGCTTGGCTTTCTTTTTGAAACCATGTTGATTGTATCGATACTATGTTTTTTGTAGGGTTCTTAAGGTGCTTGCAAGTTGCAGTTATCAGTTGCCGACGTGGCTTCGTAGTTTCATTGTTTCGACTTTCCCGGATTCCCTAAATCTATAAACCTATTTGATGGTTTAAGGTTCAGGGTTGCCCTAACCCCCAAACCCTGAGGGCCCTAAACCCGGGAAGCGGGGAGTTTGACGTGCTGGCTGGCTTCGAGGTTTCTTGTGGCCGTGGTTGGAGAAATGCAGTCCTAAGCCTCCACGTAGCTCTATATTTTTATATAGTACTGTATAGTATATACTAGTATATACCTATGCCCTAAAGTACCTACAACAGGAGCCCCGGTGAGGCCTAAACCCTAAACCCTAAACCCTAAACCGTAAATACATACTACATGGGCACATGGAGCCTTAGGGCGGGGAAAGGTTCCTCCCGCGGAGATCAACGTGTCCATCGGGCTTGATGGGTTTAGGGTTTAAGGTTTAGGGTTGTCAAAAGGGTTTAGGGTTTAGGGTTGTCAAAAGGGTTTAGGGTTTAGGGTTTTAGGTTTAGGGTTGTCAAAAGGGTTTAGGGTTTAAGGATTAGGGTTGTCAAAAGGGTTAAGGGTTCAGGGTTTAGGGTTTAAGGTTAAAGTTTAGGGTTAAAGGTTTCAGGTTGTCAAAAGGGTTAAGGGTTTAGGGTTTCGGGGTCCTTGTAAGCACTTACCAAGAGGCTCCAAAGATACTACCATTGTGGACTTAGGCCCCACACGACCATGGTTACCATGGTTTTGGGGACCTAATTCCAGAATGGCAGCATGCATGGAGCCTCTGGGTTGACTACAATAGTCATAACAACATTGTTGCTGATACTACTAACAAGAAGAATAAGAATAAACATCATACAGAAATCAGGAGCAATAATAACAATATATGTAATAAAAGTCTGAAGAGTCACCAATGTCAAATCTTAGGCATCCTTATATACACCCCCCCCCCCCACACACACACGTCAGGCCACTGAGGAAACTCAAGGTTCCCTGTAGAACGTTTCGCGGCCTATTCAGTAGGTCTCCAGGGGCTGTTGTCGTACAAAAACTACAGTGTTGTGATTTCCTGATAATCACGACGCTGCCTTGGGGTTCCCAGCTACGATGTCGGAGGCAAATAGATGTCTACGGTTTACGGTTTAGGGAGTTTCAGCGTTTCTTTCAGGGATGCATGGCTTTGGACTCAGAAGGGTTTAAGGGCTTGCGTCTCGGAGCTAGACATACGAAAGACAGGGTCCATCCTTACTTCGGTTGCCCTAAACCCTGAACCTCAAAACCTGAACATGATCGCTAAGCCGTGCAAGCCATAGCTAGCCTAACCCCACCAAACACCCTAAACCTAGTTTCATCATGTTCTGCGAACTATACCTATACTCGCGGTCTTGGATCCCATCAATCTACTAGAAACCAAAGAGCGCAGTGCCTCGAGTTTAGCGCTCAGGGTTTCAGGTTTAGGGTTT